AACCTAATGAAATCTATTGTACCCTAATTCAATTTAATGCATTATAGTGCATTCTAATGAATTGCAATGAAATCTAGTGCAATCAAATAGAATCTCAATGCATTCTTACACATTCTAATTCAATCTATTTAATTTTACTGAATTAGGTTGGCTTGAATTGGGCTGAAATGATTTGATTAGGGTTTAATTTGGTTGGGTTGAATTTAGTTGGGTGTGGTTGAATTGGATTGAATCAAGTTGTAACCTGTTGAATTGGTTTTGGTGGAATATGGTTTGGGTTGAGTTTAAATGAATTTTGGTTGAATTGAGTTAGGTGGGGTTGAATTTGGTTGGATTGAATTGGGTTGATTTGAATTAGGCTGGGTTGAATTGTTTTTGGTTGAATTTGATTGGGTTGAGTTGGGTTGGGTTTGGTTAGATTGGGTTGGGTTAAATTTGGTTAGAATGAATTCGGTTGGGTTGCATTGAGAAGGATTGGGTTAATTTGAATTGGGATCAATTGGGTAGGGTTGAATTGGTTAGGATTGAGTTGAATTGGCTTGGGTTGAATTGGTTAGGATTGCATTGGGTTGGGTTTGGCTGAATTGGATTGGGTTAGGTTGGGTTTGGTTGCATTGGTTTGGGTTCAGTCAGATTGGGTTGGGTTCAGTTAGATTTGATTGGGTTCAGTTAGATTAGGTTGTTTGAATTTGGTTGGGATGAATTGGGTGAGGTTGAATTGGGTTGGCTTGGTTCAGGTGACTAGATTAATGATGTAGTCTGCTTACTTAAAATGATTTATTGCAAGCTGCTGTGTTATCCATTGTCAGTACCGTGAGGCTCTCTCAACACAAGAACTCAAATATATGCACTTACAACCATCATAACTGCGCACTACATTGCAAAGTTCCAGTAGCTCTGAGCACGAATGCTTGGGTGCTCGAATATACACTCTCAGAGCAATCAGAACTGCATGCTACAGTGCGTAGTTCAGGTGGCTGTGAGCGCGTATGCTTGGGTGCTCAAATGTAGCTCTCACAGCCATCGGAACTGTGCGCTACAGAGAGTAGTAGCCCCCGATCTCTGCCGCGTCTACATCGTGGGGGTAGCCTGGCCTGCGTGTTGGCTGGATGCCCGGCTTGCCTGCACGCCAGGCCAAACGGCAGAGGCCCCTCCGCCCGGATCGCCACCAAACGGAGGCTCCTTTCTTCATTTTTTTTGACCAAGGATTGGGGAACCTCAGCCTCCCCTTCCCCCTACCAACTTCTTTGGCCGCCTATCTTTTCTGAGGCACACTATGCCCTTCTCTCCTCTCACCCTTTCTTCCTATTCGTCTTCCTCCTGACCTAGAGTATCCATCCCAACCCTGGCCCGGGCCCCTGCTCAGTCTGCTCCCTCCCAGTTACAAAGCAATGTTACTCGTTCTGGTGCTCCTCGTGCAATGCCTGGTGCCACAAGCGGTGCTCCGGCCTTTGCTCCATCCACCTATACTCTGCAGACTGGACCTGCCCTATGTGCAGACGGTCTGACCCCATCTCCCTTCCTCTGCTGATTCCCCAACCCCCCGGGCCACCCGCTCCTATGTCAACTTCAAAAAAGCTACTGGCCCGCCTACACGGCAGCCATTGAAGCGGCACTCAAGACGGTCCCTCCCCCCACCTTGTGTGGTGGAGAGTCAACCTTAAAGGAAGTCCTCACAACCGCTGCCAGACAGCATATCCCTCCTGGATTCAGGAAGGACTTCTCCCCATCAGTCAAACCTAGCACCCAGTTGCTCATGGAGCAACAGGATGACATTAGGGCAAGTAACCCAACCAACCCATGGCTCCCAGATCTCAACCTGGAAATAGGCCTCTATATACAGGCCCATACCAGGAACACATGGCAGACACATCTTGCGTCATGCAGCAGATGTACCAACCAATCCAAACATTGGAATCTCCTCCGCTCCCTAGCCGGAAAGAGGAACCGCCCTCCCCCCAATCAGTCAATCCAATTCGGTCGGATTTCCCTCTCCTCCCAATGCAAGATCTCCTCCGCCTTCTGCAAGCTTTTCACTTTGGTCGCTCCTCACTCTCAGAGCCCCTCCACCCGCTGCCTCATTGGTCGAATACGAGCCCACCATCCCCTCAACAGGGACTTCTCCCCTTTTACCCCAGATATGGTGAAGCTTGCCATCGCAGCCGCCAACAACTCATCCACTCAGGGTCCTGATGGCCTCATGAAGCTTCATCTAAAGCACCTCGGCCCGCCTGGCCTCCAGTTCCTCACCCTTATTTTCAACATCTCTGTCTCCACAGCCTCAATTCCATCCATTTGGAAAAATTCTAGAATTATTCCAATTCTCAAACCGGGCGAACCCGAAAACCAGGGCTCCTCATACCGCCCTATCTCCCTCCTCTGCCTGGCTGCCAAGTTTCTTGAGCGCCTGGTTCTACCATACATCTTGGGATCTCTCACCACTGTCCCCTCGCAACATGGTTTCAAGCCGGAACATTCCACTGTCACCGCCCTCCTTTTGCTTGCGCACCAGATTGCGACGGGTTTCAACTCCCGGCGTCCTCCAGCCAGCACAATCGCCGCTACTGTCGACCTCTCAAAGGCCTTCGACAGCGTTGACCACCTTCTCCTTCTGAGCATGATCGTGGCCTTGGACCTACATCATAACCTGGTCTGTTGGCTGTGCTGCTACCTTAGAAGCAGGCTGGCGTCCTGCCTCTATCTCAGAACGCAGTTGCCTTTCAGGGCTGTTCACTTCGGAGTGCCCCAGGGCTCGGTCATCTCACTGGCCGTCTTTAACCAGTTCATCTCCAATATCCCAGTTCCGACCCCCAGCATTGCCTCATATGCGGACGATCTGATAATTTTTGTGTCATCCCTGAGGCTCGATGCTGCTGAGGCTGAGCTTGCTGTGCTCCTTTGGAATGTATCGGATTAGTCGGCGGCCAAGAAACTGAGCGTGGCCCCTGTCAAATCCTCCGCCACGCTATTCACACCAGATACCCACCAATCTTGATCCCACCCTGCAGCCACTATCTGCAATGGCGTCATCCTCCTGGATAAAATCCTGGGCGTCACCTGCGATACCGTAAAATGGGGTAACTTAAGACTCCCGGGGTAACTTAGACCACTTTTAATTTTTTAACAAAAACCCCCAAAACTCAAAAACTATTTGACATAGAAAAATTTTGTCAATGCGCCTAATACTGAGGTTTTGTCAATACAAGGCCTAATACTGAGGCTACATAACACAATAGAAAGATTTAAAAAGTTTGCATGTATAATAGGTTAAAAAATTTAAAATGTTACCCATGAAAAAACGCTATTATATAAAGCCTGTCAGGGTACCCCCTCCAATTTTTTTGATTTTTGGTAAAATAACTCCAGGTTTTGATGCATTGTAGTAGAACTCTTCTAGTTACATATGCAAATGACAAATTTTAGGAAAGTGTCATAGTTTACAAATGGAGGGCGCCGCCCTCAAATGGGGGAACTTGTTAGCCCTGAACCTAATGTTAATACATAGACCGGCTTGGAAGTTAATATAAAATTACCATATATAACATATTTTATTTTTGACAACCTATTAATGTTTTTTCTTTATGTTTCAGACTCTACAGAGTCTTATATATGGTAATTTTAACTTAATTTCCAAGCCAGTCAATATTACCCCATCAGGGCTGCCATTAGATAGTCACATTTCCCCCATTGTGGGGCAGCACCCCCATTTGCAAACTATGACACTTTCCTCAAGTTTGTCATTCGCATATGCAACTAGAAGAGTTCTACTACAATGCACCAAAACCTGGAGTTATTTTACCAAAAAATATAATTGAATTTACCACCCAGTCTAAGATACCCCAAGAGCTGGGGTAACAAAGACCATCACTTTTTTTTAAATTACATAAAAACTATGAGAGGCAGGAGCCAGCAATTTATGGCAAGGGAACCTAGAGTATAGACTTGTATTTTACATGTTTCAATTCAAGTTTGATTTAGCTAGTAAAAAAATGTCATAATTTTTTTAAAAAAGTGGTCTAAGTTACCCCCTTTGACGGTACTAATCAAAATTTTTTGTTGTAAATAGATTTTCTTGTTAACTGGAGCTTTTGCTAATCAAGGTTCCACTGTTAGTACTGTAAATATGTTTTTAGGAGTATCACTAATATTATTACACTGTCTTATGGAAATGGCCACCATTTTTTTGGGATAAGATACGCAAATTAGGTAAATCACGTTTAAAAGCCAGCACCTGTGTATGTGTTTAACTTTTATGTAAGAAAAATTGTTTAATATGGTAAATATTTTTTTGTGAAGGCTATTGTATCATTCTTATCAGCAATACCTTTCCAAAATTGCACTTTTCACACTTTTTTTCAGGGATTTTTAGAGGGAGTAAATGTATGATTACCTAACTTGCTTTATGCTACATAGAATGATAGATATTGAAAATGTTGAGCTTTACACCACTGTTTTTAGTTTGCGATATTTGATTAGTTATAGGTACTGCTACAACATCAACATTTCTATGAAATGTGGGACAACTGTCCCAATTTACCCCGCACATCCCTTTTTACCCCATTTGATGGTAGTGCGTATGCTGTCACAAGGAAATTAGAAGTTTCATGGTTTGGTATTATTTTTTTTATCAAAATTTTCATGATCAAAATAATTTCATCAACAGTTTTTTAGTGGTATTCATATCAGACTGCTTGCCTACTGCAATAAAATCATGTCTGGTTAACCACACATAAGGCTCATAAGCAAATGTTTCTCATGCAGAAAAAAAAACATTTCTCTTAAATAACATCTCTAATTGAAATATACCCAATTTTTAATATTGCTACTTAACAGCCTCTACTCTTGCCAAGTTGCCATCACTTCTAAAATTTCACGTGAATGCAAACAGTGAAGTAAATACTTCACATAAAAACCTACTTACTACACAATAACCAACTCCATTCTCTCACCCACCAACCCCAAATATTCATTAAAAACATACTTGTGATTCCTCAGAAGGCCTGGAATTTGAAAGAATTAATGAAATAGCATCAAATGGTTATCTTAATAGATCAGAAAGGGTGAAATTGGATCTTCGTTTTATAGGTTAGCTGTTATTTTCAGATCTGATTCAAAATCTAAAGCAGGCCTATTGTGTAGAATATCTGGTATTGGAGAAGGCATCTAATGCAAACCCTATGCAATGTTGTCAAAAGTAGTAACCTCTCTGTAAAAATGGTGATGAAAGCAAGTTCAAATATCCATCAAGATCAGGTAAGTTGGATTCATTTAATGTTTTCTTTTCACATGTGACTAAGCCACCTATTGTATTTACAGTCCAAACTCAAAGTTTTTTTTAAAATGAAGTAGATTGTTAAAAAATTTATGCATGAAGACATTCATTCCATTTATAGTCTTTCAAAACTGCATAGGAAAAAGTGAAATTTTTCATAATTTTTAGAGTGCGACATGCTAAATATATTGTCATTTGGATAATTTAAGGCTTCAAGCCAAAAACTATTCTTTCCAACATTCACTAAATTACCTAATGATAAAAATTTTTATAATTATAACTTATTTGTACCTTGTGCCACACAAATGACACCACACTGGTAAAAAGTCAGCTTAAATGAAAATCTAAGCTAAAAAGTTACATAAATTCATTATCTGTTTAGTTTCAGATGTTCTTATTTATTTACACATTACATTTTTGCAGATTAAATCTACTGTGCAAACTGTGAATAACGGCAGTTCAGAGAGAAGTTGGCTGTGTGCCCGTCCACTCAAGTCAAAAAAGAGGCCACTACCTGAAACCTGGATAACTGGCACCTGGAGTGAAGAAGAGATCCAGCAACTGAAGGAAAATGTTTCCAACTACTGCAAGTTGCATCAACTTGTGGTACATATACCTAAACAAGCTCCAAGATTATTGTATTCTTTTCTAGAGTATTTATTCCCAAAACCATAAAATAGGATGACTTGGACCAGTTTTGAATTTTGAAGGCGCATCATTATTAAACTAGCTGTTTGACTTAAATTGAAACATGCATATGTTAGGCCTGTACCTAAGGTTTACTCACCAATGTGTGCAGATTTCTCCTCTTCTTGAATTAATGTAGTGTTAGGAAAAGTGGGTGGTCCAAGTCACCCCTTGGGGAGTGACTTGGACCACCCATAGCTAAAATATGGGACATAGTTTGAAATAGGAGCTGGAGGACTGTCTTTTATCTCCTCTGCCTCCCTCAGAGTTCCCTCACAAATGCTCATGATCATCTATTACCGGTATAATTTGCTAGTCTTTTGTTTAAATTTATATGCAGCTTGATGAAGTCAGAAGTTCAGTCAGGCTGCAGGAAGGCTCATTGAAAACTCAGAGACAGTTTGCCATTGCTCATCCAGGTAGTTTTTTACAAAAATCCTTATCCATAGGGGCCATAATCACTGCACCGTATGTGTCTTTTGAAAACAATGCTCCTCTTCTGCGCACTTGAAACAATTTGGCTCCTAGGCTCTGTAATACCTACCTGTATTTTCTATGCACTCTGTTAAACAAAACAGACTTGACTATGTCCTACTGTTTGGCAGCTTTGGTTATACTCATTTTCTTTTTTCTTATTAAATCTACAACTATATCTACTTCATCATCTGTGTAGTTCCTGTAGGTGTAATACAAGCCCATACGGCGCTTGAAGGTCCTAGGCATACTGTAGGAAAGTAAGGATGTAGCTGGTTCATTCACTGGTTTGTAGGCACAATATGAATATAGAACAATAAGTAACCTGACAAAATAAGTAGAAAGCATTAGTAACACTTGAAAAAACATAAGTAGAGTATGATAAAATGCTGTTTTTAATTACAATATGATTTGGGGGCGTTTAGACTGGTCCAAGTCACCTTATTTTGTAACTATTACAATTGGCTTAGGTTGGCTTCAATGCACGAAACTGGAAAGCTTGTAGTATAATGTATCAAAATTATGAGACATTCTGTATAGTAGTTGAGTAATGAGAAGGGGTATATTAATAGGGTACACAATTTATAGTTTTTAGTGCTCAACATGATACAAAAAATCACACAGTAAATGTGTACTAAATTATCTCTTTATTGCATTGGTACCGGTAGGTTATTTCATGGGGACTACTTCAAGAGCGATCAACACAATTTTTTAAGGCATGAGCTGTTTTGAGTTATAGGGTCTTCTTTTCTTAAATGTCAGAACGGTCCAAGTCACCCCATTTAACAGTAGGTACTTCTCACTATGTTGCCCATGCATGTGTATTATATACAGAGATATATATATGGCTAAACTGAAATACTTCTCCATCAACTCCTAAGAATTGGGTTTTAATTTACCTCAGCATGAGAGCCTATCTTTCAAATGTTCTACAATTCTATTTGTCTTAGTATTAATGCTTGTGGTTCAGATATTCTTCTGGTTTCATATGCAGGTATTTTAATTGTTTCATTTAATGTTTTTTTCTTCACCATTATGATAATTTTATTCTCTATATATTCCCAAAACAAAAATTTCCAACAGGATCCATCTGAGATTATTTTTACCATGACCAAGACACAACGCAGTGGCTTCTACAAAGAAATATCCAAGAATATTAATAGACCGCTGTTCTCAGTCTACAGAAAGGTTATCAGGTATGACTGAACCTATTTTTAACACGTTTTTCTTAGCTTAGCTTCGCGTTTGTTTTTCTTAGCTTAGCTTCGCGTTTGTTTGTTTGTTTGTTTGTTGTTAACATTGACAACGAAAATTAGCCCACTTCTGATTGTTCTAGAGATCTGAAATTCGGCATGCAGGCTATTTTCGCCTAACAATTTCAGATACAATCATAAAAACTAGTAATTAGAGACCGCAATTAGTTTAATTGAGTAAAGTATATATACTATATATATAGTATGACGTGCGGGCGCTCACGTTAATAGACGAGCAGGCGCTAACGCTGCGTATCATCGATACGTACGTCAAGTCATACTTAATCAAGTCTTAATCGTTTTTCTTGTGGACTAAAAAGTAGAAAATAAAATACTTAAAAAAACTTTAAAAAAACACGTTTTTCTTGTGGACTAAAAAGTAGTGTTTGTTTGTTGTTAACATTGACAACGAAAATTAGCCCACTTCTGATTGCTCTAGAGATCTGAAATTTGGCATGCAGGCTATTTTCGCCTAACAATTTCAGATACAATCATAAAAACTAGTAATTAGAGACCTAAATTAGTTCAATTGAGTAAAGTATATATAGTATATATATAGTATGACGTGCGGGCGCTCACGTTATAGACGAGCAGGCGCTGACGCTGCGTATCATCGATACGTACGTCAAGTCACGCTTTTTAGTCCGTGCAGCAACGGACTAAAAAGGAGAAAATAAAATACTTAAAAATACTTTTAAAAAAAACACGTTTTTCTTGTGGACTAAAAAGTAGAAAATAAATTATGGCTCACCCCAATAACGTGGCTCGGGCTGTACGTTCACTATTAAATTTCCAAAATTCGTGTGTTGTGTGCTTTTCGCTTTAATCAGAAATCTGCCCGACACACGTTTTTTGAGGCGAGCCATAATTTATTTTCTACTTTTTAGTCCACAAGAAAAACGTGTTTTTTTAAAAAGTATTTTTAAGTATTTTATTTATGATTTTTGTCAGGTTTTACCATCTGATTGGAAAAATCAACTACGGTATAGCTCTTTTCTCTCCAATATTTTGTATGTATGTTTCTTGCGTGTATATGGTAATAATCATTGCAATTAGGTTAACTTTGTGATATTTTCGTCTCTTAATAATTATTGAAGGAATTATAAAATAATAATTTAATATTAATTTAATATCTGTAAGTATGTTTTAGAACATTTTATCTATAGAAGCCCATTAACCTATTAGCTAATTGTATTTATGTGCAGAATATATGATGGAAGCAACTATTTGGGCCGGTACAGCACGGAAGAGCTGGAGCGTCTCAAGGTCTTGCATTCGAAGCATGGCAACGACTGGCGGGTGATTTTTTTATCAATTTTGTGTAACTAAATTTTTTTACAGGATTTTTCAATATTTTGGCTTTTTGAATTAAATACTTTTCCAGTAATATACGTAATCCTTATATCACATGATTGTGTCTTCCAATATTCCAATGTTATTAAACTTCCAATAATAATATTCCAATATAATTAAACTAGAAGTTAATTCCATGAATTCAATTTTAGTGTCACAGAAGCATAGGGATTTGAAAATGCCATCACATGATATACATTCCATAGTTAATTTAAAATTATTCAATGAAATGAAAATATAGCAATCATTAAGTGTATCCAGTGATTTCATTTCTAGTTGAGTAAAAGAACAGTGAGCTGTACCATGTTCTCTATGCATTAATATGGTTATCAGTGTTACATTAATACAGTGTTACATTAATATGAATGTAACACTGATAACCATATTAATGCATAGAGAACATGGTACAGCTCATTACGGTATATGGTATACTGTATATTACGGTATATGGTTATTAGTGTTATATTAATAGGTATATACAGTGGGGGGAAATAAATATTCGTACACTTGAAAAATCGTATTTTAATGTATGTAAGTACACAAACTTAACAGGAAAAGTGATTTAAATTATGTATAGAGACGCATAGTATTCAAAAATACTATCAAAAGAAATTTGCATTGAGATTTAATTTCTTTTGATAGTATTTTTGAATACTATGCGTCTCTATACATAATTTAAATCACTTTTCCTGTTAAGTTTGTGTACTTACATACATTAAAATACGATTTTTCAAGTGTACGAATATTTATTTCCCCCCACTGTATAGTACGATATATGGTTCTTAGTGTTACATAAGTAGTGATATATATTACGATATATGGTTATCAGTGTTATATTAATTTAATACCTATATATTACGGTATTTGGTTGTCAGTGTCATACGATATATATATTACGGTATATGGTTGTCAGTGTCATATAATAAATAGGTATATTACCTACGTTATAAGGTTGATTGTCACGGTAAGTACGGTAAGTCAGTGATTGTCTATTTCAGGCCATTGCCGCAAAGCTTGGCAGATCATCATCAAGTGTGAAGGATCGCTGCCGCCTCCTCAGGAACAAGACTGGCAACAGAGGCTCCTGGACTGAACAAGAGGAGGACAGGCTGGCCGATGCTGTTGAACAGCAGGTCTTGTTATGCTCAATGATATTTCATGTGCTGGTGTAGACATGAAATTGATGTCTTGTATTCAAAATTTTGTGCGAAATTTAGGGCAATATCTATGAAATTAATGGCATGTTTTCTATTGCTGGCATGAACCTTATGGCAGAATTGAGAGATATCAAAATATAACCCTATGTGATTACGGCAAGATAGCGCACTGTCCTAGGTTTTCAAGAAAGTTTCATGAGAGTTAATGCATAGAGCATGAGTATATTTTCACGCATTGCTAAAATTCGTCTCATTTTTCTTACATTCATAAAACTTCTATCGTCAATTAATGCAGGTAAATAACTTGACTAAATATATCCTATTTAGGTTGGCAGGATTGGGAGCGCAGCGGCGGACTACAGCGCCGGCATCGCGTGGTCGGCCGTGGCTGTGAGCGTTGGCACGCGCACCGAGAAGCAGTGCCGGACCAAGTGGCTCCACTACCTCAACTGGAAGCGCAACTCTGGCGTGACATGGAGCAAAACTGATGATCTGCAGCTCATCTGCAGGTGCTGACATGAGTGCAAGTGCAGTACAATGTACATGTTGCATAGTAAGCTTATTCGATTGTTATGTTGAAGTATTTGTTGTGTAATGTACAAATGTAATCGTCATTAAATTTGCCTACTTTTAAATTGGTGCTTATTTTAGGCAGTAACATTGAAGAACCTTTGTTTGTGTACCGTAGAAATTAGTTAACTGCAAAACTTAGTCCTATACCGAAAATCTGATGTTTATGGGTGTCGTGTCAGGCTGAGCGTGTGCGGCGTGTTGGAGGAGAAAAACGTAGACTGGGCGGCCCTGGCCCGCGGGTGGCCCGCGGTGCGGTCACCTCATTGGCTGCGCTGCAAGTGGTGGACCCTCAAACACAAGCTTCAGTCCCGACACTGCTCTGGCTTTAAAGGTGATTCTTCACTGCAGACAAGCTGCGATTATTTTCAATTGAGATCACAAATCAATGAGTGAATAGCTGTTATGCGTGAATACTTTGCAATGTTACCAACTGCGTGGATCGCATACTAGATGCAGTTTTAAATCTATGAACCAAGGGATCATTTGAAGTTTTGAAACGTTGTACCACCAAGTATGGAAACAATAAACAATTGGTGCGTTACAGTAATAAGTTGAAATTTTCGCTTTTCTTGTATTAGTACTGGTAGTACTCTGGGGACCTGTGCAATTTTGTCCTGACGGCATAAGTTTTTCATTGTAGTGAAGCTTTGAAGGCCTTTATACGTTATGTTATATTGCTTTTACGATGCCTGAAAAAGTCTCTTGACTTGCTTACACTGGAGAGAACTTCAAAAATGTATTAGTATAAATTGCATTTTGAAGGAGGATCTCGTTTCGAAGGAGGATATATAATTTATGTCGTTGCTCTTTTCATCATTATTGATTCAGCAGTCGGAAAAATAGGGCAATCAAAGCTAAATCCTTGCGGAAAAATTTCAACTCAGTTGAGATCTTTGGTGATGGTGGAAACAAACCCCAGAGTTATTAATTTATTGTATGACATGGTTAGAAAAACGTTTGTCTTGATTATCAATTATCAATTTACTAGTGACGGTATCGGATATGACTAACTCGAGAAATCGTCAAAACAGTTTGTTTGTAAACCCATTATGCGCCATTACTGTTATTTGTATAATTGCTTGATGAATATATTCAGTTACCCTCAATAAGGGAAGGGTTGTAATAGAAACTTTATTATAAAATTCTATTATTATTACCTCGAAAAAAGCACCACTCATGTAGCTATCTGATAACTTGTTAACTTCTCATGGAAGAAACTCCACTTGTCAACTTTCATGTTAATTAATATTTCCCGTTGAGCAGAGAAGTGCCGTGAGCTGTACAACAGCACCCCCCGCCCCGTCCTCCTGGACACCATGATAACCGTACCAACAACCACGACTTGTTCTCCTGGCGCGGCAGATGACAGAGACGTGACGCCTGCCTTGCCTGCTGGTGTCAACATCAGGATCTGCATCGCTGCACACAACTTCGCTGACATCATAAACTTCGGTGAGATGCCAGGCGTCAACCTGTTGCTTATGTGCTGACATCATTAACTTCGGTGAGATGCCAGGCGTCAACCTGTTGCTTGTTTGCTGACATCATTAACTTCGGTGAGATGCCAGGCGTCAACCTGTAACCTGTTGCTTGTTTGCTGACATCATTAACTTCGGTGAGATGCCAGGCATCAACCTGTTGCTTGTTTGCTGACATCATTAACTTCGGTGAGATGTCAGGCATCAACCTGTTGCTTATGTGCTGACATCATTAACTTCGGTGAGCTGTCAGGCATCAACCTGTTGCTTATTTGCTGACATTATGAACTTCGTGTGATACCAGGTGTTGAGATTTTGCCTGGATAACTTATGAATTGGTAGCAATGGTTAACTTCCTAAGTTCCTAGCTAGGTTCATTGAAATGAATAGTGAGACCAGAGCCATAAATGATGCAGTGAATTTTTACAACGTTTGATGGACTCTCTTTTCTTTTGAAGTTGTGTCCACATCATGAATCATAAGGAAGAACGAAAATTTATGTTTATCTAGAAGATGTTATTATGCATGTTGTTAGAAGTTATTTCTTGCCACATGAGTTTCTTTACTACAGAATTCTGGAACTGAGTTGCTTTGAACTGTAATCCTATGGTCTTTTACTTTTCAGATGGCCCTGAGGAAGAGAGACAGCGGATGTTACAGCGGTTGTTGCAGTCAGCTGTTGTGGTAACCGAAACTCCGTCGGGTAACGATGTGTCCGAGCTGAGCAATCTCTCCACTGTTGACTTTACTTCTGGTGAAGCGGATAAGATCTGTGGTACTTCAAATTATGAGGTCTTTAGTGAAGAGGAAGCCTCGACAGATGCCGGCGTTTCTTTAGTGACAATGGACTCGGTGGCGTCTTTTCTTGAACATTCTGGGAAGAAATTCACCGTAGCCAACACTCAGGCCCAGAACATAAAGGTGACAAGCATTGGGTCGTCGCTGAAGGCCTCGAATTCTGCTGTCGACATCACCCCGTCGTCATCAGTGGCTGGTCTGCTCAGTAGTAACACGTCACTGTGTATTGATGATGCAACTTACTGCATTAGTGCCGGTGACCTATGTGGTCTCACCGGCTCTGATGTGCTAGTCATAGGCAGTGAGGTTTGTGCTGAAACTGACAATTGTTCACGTCACGACGGAGATGACGACGAATTCGCTTTAATGACTCGTCATGACGTTGATACAAGATCGGTAGTACGCACTGGCACGCCGATTTTAGAAGTTTCAAATGATGCCTTCAGTGGTCACGTTTCTCTGAATGTTTGTAGCGACGACGCGCTCGACCGCATCGATGTAAGGGATGACGCCAGGGAGGCGCTGGGGGGCACAGCGAATACTTGAGATGGAGGGCGGTTCGACCATCATTTTCACGGCTGATTAACTCCACGCAAGGGAGGCAGTGGCGTCAAATACTGCTAATTTTCATCTGATACGATAAGTGCGAGCTCTGATGTCTGCATCAAGTTAACTTTGTGAAGAAAAGGAAGTATTGATGGAGGAACAGGGCCTTAAGGAACCTAGCAATGGATGGCAAGATACCGACCTACGAATACTGGTGCATCGATTGAGGGCGCGTAACTCGTAGAATAACGTTCATGTGAATTGAAGGTTTTCATCGAGCACGACAGCGATTTTGCTCTACTTCAATAACTTGAGTAATCAATTAACACAGAATCGTGCTGATAATTGTAGAGTCTGATGACTTTTGCCTTGGCCGGAAGTTCCTGCTTGCGACTGGAAATGAAAGTGAACAAAAATGGCCTTGATTCTTATTTCTAATTTAACGACCCACAACGTCAAGGACCTCAATTGTGCAGTAATCCCACGATGCAGTAATCGCAATAAATAATATTCCCGTCCCCAACATTTGAACAAAAACAAACTTAGCATCTGGTAAGATTCAGGATAGGATTCCTGAATCCTATCATCATTTTTGGGGGGATTAGAGGCGGATGTCAAAGGATTGGCTCGCTGGTAGATCAATGGTCAGTGAAACTACCCTACGGGTCGGAGAATATTTTGGTAGGTGCTTTTCTATTTCATCTTATTACCATTTATTGTGCACGCTTATGGTTGATAAGAAGTACAGGTTCTAATTGAAGGGTAAAAGATTTTGTTTTCTTCGTGAACGGTGTTATTGGGCTGGTTGTTCTGATCCGGTGCCAGGCCAACATGACCTGATTACAGCCACCGCTTCAATGTATATTATATTTTATAGTTAGGATCTTTTATTGAGTCGTTTTCTAATATGTTCCTGGCTGTCGAAAAAGTAATTTATTTCTCGAGCCTTCAAGTCTTAATCTTCATTGTGATAGTGTTGATTGTTTGCACAGTTGAATTAAGTAGTCATTAAGTATTATCATTTCCTTGAATTTCTGTTTATTTATGTTGATTTTATCTATTTATTTACATACTCGAGTATTTACCAGTTGCGTTTTTAGTGTATTTGCCCTCACTGTGATATCTTAATTCTGGAAATAAATTTAAACCATTGATACAATTTATTGTGCTTTATTTTTCGTCATTATTAATGAAATCAAACAACATATGCACGGCATAGGAACTCATCTTGCATTAGCGCAAAGGGTGCGTTTAATAATATAGTGCTTATTATTTTGTTGTGTTTGTGCTTCATTCGCCTCCGTTTTCTGCTTCATTTACTTGCATTTTCTGCTACATTCACCCGCATTTTCTGCTTCATTTACTTCCGTTTTCTGCTTCATTTACTTGCGTTTTCTGCTACATTCATCCGCATTTTCTGCTTCATTTACTTCCGTTTTCTGCTTCATTTACTTGCGTTTTCTGCTTCATTTACTTGCGTTTTCTGCTTCATTTACCTGCGTTTTCTGCTTCATTTACTTGCGTTTTCTGCTTCATTTACTTGCGTTTTCTGCTTCATTTACCTGCCTTTTCTGCTACATTCACCCGCATTTTCTGCTTCATTTACTTGCGTTTTCTGCTTCATTCATTCGCGTTTTTTGCGTCATCCACTTGCTTTTTCTGCCACATTCACTTACGTTATCTGCTTCATTCACTCGCGCTTTCTGCTACATTTACATTTTATGCTACATCCTCTTCCGTTTTCTGCTACATTTCTCTGCATTTTCTCCTTCACCCGCGCTCACGAGTTTCCCTCTGACGGCATTTATGCGCAAAGTTTGGAATTCATTTGCATGCCTTCAATTTTTCGGCTCTTATAGCCGGAGTTCGCTCATTTTTCGATGCGTTAACCTAGAGCTACTTATTCCTAATCCTCTTAATCCTTACATCTATTCTTGTTCCATTAATGCATGGTTAAATGAACTTTTTGACTGAACCGAAATTACTGCTTCATTGCATTCAGTTTGGCTTAAATTTATAGATTCGCCAAAGTTAGTTGTTGCTCATCTAAATGGAGTGCCTACTATCTAAGACTGTATAGATAGTGAAATAACTGCTAGACCAACTTAAGATTAAGAGTAATAGACTCTATGTAGTAGACTTGTTTTCTTTGAGGAGCAACTTGAGCAAGAAATACGTTGAAGGAAAAGGACAACCCTTCTTAAAAGTCGAATTAGCTAGCTGATTACGGTAGCATGAAGTAGTTCTTTGTTTTGCTGCGATGGGCGGCAGTGCGGATTGTGACACGAATTTTCAGAACTCGAGCTAGTTTATCATGACGCCTCCAGGTGGCGGCAGTGCCCCGGCACCTCCAGGTGGCGGCAGTGCCCCGGCACCTCCAGGGGGCGGCAGTGCCCCGGCACCTCCAGGTGGCGGCAGTGCCCCGGCACCTCCAGGAGGCGGCAGAGCCCCGGCACCTCCAGGGGGCGGCAGTGCCCCGGCACCTCCAGGGGGCGGCAGTGCCTTGGCGCCTCCAGGGGGCGGCAGTGCCCCGGCACCTCACGGCACTGCTGCTGGGGTTGAGAGCGCACCTCGGGGTTTCCCTCAGCTCGCTACTCGCAACACAAACTTAATTTCGGTCGTAAAATTCGTTCACACGTCAGCTGAACTTCATCAGTACAACTGCGCCTACACTATATAGGTTCGATTGAAACGTTGAAAAATTATGCAGAGTGACGAGGGTTCAACGCTACCGACTATGCCGGCGAATGTGGCATTGGGTTATCTAATCGATCCTTATCAGCCTGCTGCGCGGTGAAGTGCCAAGCTGTAGTTATCGTCAATGTTCTGCACAGCTCACGTAGCTCCTGTTGCTTTGCAAAATATCGGGACTCGGCGGCAACTTGCATTTTTCCATTCATGTTACAGTGATTTGTTCTAAATTAAAAATCTTGAGCGAAACATTTTTTTAGTAACTAAAATCATTCAAAAAAGAAAAGAAAAAATGATACTCAGATAACCCAAGCCGTATTTAGCGGCTACTTCTCAAATATAGTACAAAAAGAAATCATTTGTGGATGGCTGAAAAATAAGTGTTTTTGAAAATAAAATAACGTATTTGGCTATGCAACGAAGAAAATATTTTTGCGACGTTTTTAGCTGCGAATGCAAAATAATTTTTAAATTTGAATTTTTTTGGCCCTTGCAGATATTACGGCAACGAAATGTAACATTGAAATAAAATGTAACTTTTCTAAAACTTTGCGTCAACTCGATGAAACAAATTTATATTTCACTCCAAGCATTTTGCACAATCTTGCGTTGATTTAGATTAGCAGTGGTATAACCGTGTCGGCTAGACCGAACCTACCTAGCTGCTCAATCCGCAGTTAATGCTGACATAGCAGGTGAGTGCTTCATTGTAATACTACACACTTCGGTAGTTGTCGAATTCTATACTATTTCTTACCTACTAAAGACCGTAATTTCGGCGGAAAATAAATGATAATTTACTTGAGCTCTAGAAAACATACGACTACTGCTACTTATTGTTTTCACCTGACAGTATTTCTCGATGCTAATTTTTGCTTGGGATAGGAAAATTTTATTTGTAATTAACTTTAAATCGCAAAGGAATCGCTTCGCAGATATGAATTATTTTTTTTTCATCCCCTCATAATTTATTTTTGAATTTTATGTTATTTGCCCCTACGACGTTAAAGCAGATCGTTATTTATTTAAAACTTCCCGCGATATGTTCTTATTTTGTTGTCATGAAATTAATACAGGGCACCTTCTTATTTGTAGTTTTCAAGTATATCGCCGCTGAGGTCGTAATCGTGAATTATCTTGCAACATATAAATACAAACAGAAATAGAATTATATTCGCATGTATTACCTACATCACCTCTGTTTGTATTTAATATTATCTTTTGGGATATCAACTAGACAAACAAATTTAGTATAATATTCTTAAACCTTTGTGTTTAGCTAGCTCTCTTATCGTTAAGCACGAGTATCTTGACGATTTATACCATGAGTTATAAAAACTACATCATAATGAGTTATTGTGTGAGTGAAAGTTGTTATTCCTATGAGTTTTAGGTACATTACCTCAATTAATCATTTTATTGTGTTAGGTTCCTATTAGCTTCAAAGACAAATTATTAATTATTTATCGTGGCAGCGCAACAGATGTTATTCCTATTAGTTTAACGTACGATATCTTGAATACTTATCGTGGTAGCGCAAGAGATGTTATTCCTATTAGTTTAACGTACGATATCTTGAATACTTATCGTGGTAGCGCAAGAGATGTTATTCCTATTAGTTTCACGTACGATACCTTGATCAATTATCGTGGCAGCGCAAGAGATGTTATTCCTATTACTTACTAGTTAATAGTATTGCTTATTATTATTAGTTTCGCGTACGGTAATGTGATTAATTATCGTGGCAGCGTAGATATTATCCCTATGAGGTGCAGGGACGATGGCGCTGATAAGACTCCGTGGAGGGCGGTTGGCGTGGCTCGCCCTGACGTGCGTGTGTGTCGTGGTCGTCTACATCGTGTCTTCTAACAGACTCTTGGACGTGCGAGACAGAGTGCTGCTCAGGTACGTGGTATCTTTGTTAACTTGGGTCACGTCTTATTAAAAGGTTCAGGTGGGTGCGTAGTTTTGTTTCTCGTTGTTGGACGGACTAGAGTAGTGAGTTATGCCATTCTCTACTATACGTATTAAGTTATTCTTTGATTTTAACACTTGAGTTATGAGTAGATATTTCTTTATTTAGCAGCCAGAATACTTCTTTCTATTTGTGTATAGTTCTAATCTGCTGTTTTAGACCTGCTTTTTTCGTAACAAGAAGTGTTCAGTTGCAAGTGCATATAACTTGAATATAAATGCACTGACAAGATCTGGTAATCTCACACATTGCAGACGATTCAAAGTTCACATCTTCTATTACAGCGTAATAGGTAGATATTTCAGTTACATAACTGGCCGATTTTGTCATTGCACAATGTAAAGATATCCAATGCAATATCCAAAATTGCAGATGTTTAAGATCTTGCAGTATCCATTAAAAGACCTTGCTATGACACATATTGCACATCTTACGCTCGCACAATGATTAGCGCATCGTTGAAAATTTGCAAGAACACAAATTACAAGTCTTGCATTAGCACAATGTTAATGTATTTTAATAGCACAAATTGCAGGCATTGCAATAGCATGAATTGCATGCCGTTCAAGAGCACAAATTGCTGGTCTTGCCTGCAAGTTGTGCAATACCTCGTCTTAAGACATTACATATTAAGTTAAGATTTGGCTGTAGCACAAGTTGCAAATCTCTGGAGTACTATTTACCTTTCGATATTGAATGAAATGTTATGAAATGAAATGTTACGAAATGAAAATGCATAAATGAAATGAAATGTTATTGAATGAAATGCTATTTTATTGCCTGATTCGTGCTTTAAATAGTGAATAATTTTACCTTGTCCACTCAGCGTGTTTACTCCACTCATTGAACGGAATGAATTTCGTGTAGGAATAGTCCAGCTTTATAGTTAATGACGATGCACCATAGAATATATTAGTTATTATCATTGTGACATTTGAATTCCTCGGCATGTTGCACGAATTATTAAGAATGCAATGAAATACCGACTGGCAATCGCATGTGGTGTTTGATGGCTGGTGTATAGATTTGGTGAAGGTTTTCTTCGCGTTTTGGGTTTTGGTGTTTGTTCAAGCCTTAAAATATAACTGTAAATCATTTAATCGTAATCGATTCGCTGATATCTTTCGAAAAATTATTAATTTGCTCAGTCCTTTTAGTAAACGTTAAAATATTGCTGTAAATCTCATGATCGAATGATGCCTCTGATCGATGCCTCTGAAAAACTGTTTTTTATTTTAGTTTATTAATTTCGAAACTTGAGTTCTTTGAAACACGAGTATTATTCAGTTTTTTTTTTCAATTATTCGGTGTCTTTCAATGTTATTTAATCTTTTAATGTTATCTAATTTTTTTAACAAATGCATGAGAGTAATTTTGCTGTCAACATCACACTCAAGGGCACGCCATGAAACTCACACGACGCACGGAAGACCTTCTCTCAAACAGTCTCCGATATTTTACTGGTTTCATAGTTATTTTTTATTTGGTTTGTATGATATTTTATTTGCTTTGTAGGCAACTCGTCGATGATGCTGTGGAGAGCGGCAAGTCCCTGAGATCAGCGTGAGTGAAGGGGTATCTTTACATCTACGGCGATTCAGATTCTTTATTGTTGCGATTCCATTTTATCAGGCCTTCTAAAATTTGAATTTATAATTTTTTCGATTTGAAACAATGCTCAATTAAGGAAAGCATTAATTCGTCAAAAAATCTATAAATATTTTTTGCCATAGTGACACCAACCGAACATCGGACACTGTTCGGCCACTTGGAAAGAGAAGGTGATTACTGATTAGTAAGAGTATGATAAACAACTGAAATTCGACCGCTCCATATGCAGCCCTATATTTGCTAGTCTTTCTGTACGGTCGGGGCACCTGAAATCGGCTAGTATTTTACGACTACGACCATTTAAAACGGACATTAAACCATTTCTTTTCCGATACTTTAGCCTTGTTTGATGTCTCTCGCATCTTTGGGTTCGTTATATAAGTAGAGTTGTCATCGGTTAACGAAGGTTTAATGTGTTCCCAGTTTCCTGATATCATCAATCAGCATCGACCGTCGTGCTAAATCTTTGAACACGGATATCCCAAAAATATTTATTAAACGATTGAAGTTCAGGATTGTCATGAAAAGACTCATTTATTCAGCGCGAGCCATAACTCTTGCCATGTAGTGGTAGAAATTTTGAATACCTACACAAACCAAAGAATTGTAGGTTCATATTTAGAAGTGCTAACTAGTAGGATGAAGTACGAATCTAAGCACCTTTGATTTCAAAGGTCTTTTATAAATTATGAATTAGCAAGTATGATGTCCATGGTGAGTCACATCTCTCAAAATCATAACAGAACGGCCTCGCCTATACATAGAGGCTGGCCAGGATTTGACAGGTAATCGAGAGGATTTTTGTCGATCGAAAGTATTAATGAAGCATGTTTATAGTTGGATCGAATTCTTATTGAGGTTGTTTTCTTCAATTCACAACACCTTGTGGTGAGAAATACGCAAAACTCCTGGCATACATATGCTGGTTATAGTAATTTTATCTCATTTATCTGCTTCGAGTATAAGCAAAACAAGTGTGATGGCAACAGATGGTAATATTCATCTCTCCCTAGTCTGAAGCATACTAGTGTGATGACAACAGATAGTAATATCTCTCCCTAGTTTGAAGCATACTAGTGTGATGACAACAGATAGTAATATCTCTCCCTAGTTTGAAGCATACTAGTGTGCTGACAACAGATAGTAATATCTCTCCCTAGTTTGAAGCATACTAGTGTGCTGACAACAGAAAGTAATATTTATTTCCTTCGAGTATAAAGCAAACAAGTGTGATGACAACAGATAGTAATATCTCTCCCTAGTCTGAAGCATACTAGTGTGATGACAACGAGTGTTCCAGCAGTCCTGGCCACATCGCATGTCAGCGCCCCAGTCTGCCCGTGCTGAGCGATGACGTGATGCGGTTCTTCCACGCGGTTGACGCGCTGCAGTGCGACGCTGAGCCTGACTGGGTGACCGTCAGGGGCAGCGTCGCTACCATCTCCACGCAGGCCAAGCTCAGACACGCTGGTGACATCAAGTGCGTTTTTACTGGTATGTATTTGCGGCTTTTAAAGCTTATTTGTTTACATTAACGTATTACAACACAAGCACTCAAATATATACTCTCACAGCCCTCAGAACTGCGCTCTACAGCGTGTAGTTCCGGTGGCTTTGAGCGCGTATGCTTGTGATTCACTGGTACGTATGTATTTACGGTTTTTTCAGCTTATTTGTTTACATTAACGTATGACTGATTCACTGGTATGTATATGCAGTTTTACAGCTTATTTTAACGTATGACTGATTCACAGGTAATTTTTTCGGTTTTGACAGCTTATTGGTTTACATAAACGTATGAGTGATGCGGTGAAGGTGTTATGGGAGAAACCAGGTCAAATTCAGTAAGTCGACTTTTATCTTCTATAAGAAACGTTTAATTCAAGTGTTTCCTAATTATTTCGATTCCTATTCCTACACTTTGATGTTTAACCATGACTTGAAAAAACTCCGCATGAATTTGTTCAAATATTTGTCAAGCTTTTTTGCTACTGAAGCTTTTATCAATTGAATTACATATTTTAGTATATATTTTCATTTAAAAATCATGTTTCTTCGTTGTTAAATGTCAATTAGACACGAATGAAAGTGCGTGTAAACTTCAAAGCGCTCTTCAAATTTTCAATGCTAACCCTTGACTTATTTACAGCTTATTTGTTCAGTCGTACTATGTTCAGTCTTAAAATGCCTAGCAAATTACAGACCAGGCAATAAGTCCAGCAGCTATCTCAATCAATCGTCAGCTATAGAAAGATCGGGATCCAAAGGCCGGATCCCTTGTGAATCAAGTCACGAAAAATTTAAGAATCGGCAACAGGCCATGGGCCTATTTCTTCAGTGCCGACACTTCTATTCTATTTATTCTATTCTATTTTATTCTATTCTATTCTATTTGTAGACGTGATACGCCTGCCTGACGACGACAGCGTCGAGGACGGCGCATCGGTCACCACATCCACAAATTTCACCTTCACCGCTTCCGACTTCGCTAAGGTCTCGTGCACTGCTGCGGACGGCCAAAAGTACGTCTGGAAAACGAGTCTAATTTTTGTCTGATTCTCTATTTTCCTGCAACCATGAAATTCATCTTTTCAGTTTTTTATTCGTGGATTAAGAAATTTAATCCGTTTATATCCAAGATAGAACATAGTATATCGATAGTTTAACATGGCAATTCGTTTGCTCGTAGGGTAGAATTGTAAACTAAATGAATTGAAGATTTGTAAAATATTAAAATTCGAGAACAAGATGATCCTGCGTTGGTATGACAGTGTCTGATGCCGCAGGTGGCACTCGGTGGCAGCTGGCATCCGCACCAGAGCCGTCCAGCCCGCCAGGAGCTGGGCTGACATTCCTAAAGACAGCCTGGGCGTGAGTGTGCTGGCGCTGGGCCTGGACTCTCTGTCGCACAACACCTTCATCAGGACGCTGCCCAAGACATATGAGTGAGTGCAAGACTGCTTGTCTCGTACCCTAACAAAATTTAGAGTCGCCCCAGCTTCTGGTCTCCTACCCTAACAAAATTTAGAGTCGCCCCAGCTTCTGGTAATCCAAATCAGAAGCTGCCGCGTCTGTAAATTTTCACTGGGTAGCGATTCCGGCAATAACCTGATTTAAATAATTTTTGCTTTTTAATTCTTGATTTAAAAAACGTCTCAAGTTTAACAGAGATTCTTAAACTTTATCTAGATTCGTAGCAGTTTTAGAGTTCAATTCGTTGATAGTGCTTGTATAAAGCCAAAATATCTATTGCGTTTACCATAAAGTTGAAATTTATGTTCAAACCGCATGCTGATATAAATAAATTGTGAGAACTATAAATTTTCACGAAAATCATTCCATTGTTACCTTTACTGTAAGAACTGTACGTGTTGAGCTACTGTTATTAGTTAGTACCTATATATAACTTGAGGGACTCTAATATGCTCATTGAATTTCATTTCGCTATGAGAATTGATCGATAAAAATATGATTACTTTATTAATTTTAACTTATTTTGTCTACTGGCATGTCTGCGTTGAACGAACGACTTTATTTCTTTCTAACTGCAACAATAGCAGCACACGTTGTTTACTTGCTCGAATAGTAGATGACAAGGAAGAGTAGATAACTTTTCTGATCTAACCGTGTGTAGATAACTTTTGTGATCTCCTCGTGTGTGGTTAACGCTTGTTAACTCTTCGTGTGAAGATAAAGTTTGTTATCTACTCACGTGTAGGCAACATTTCTGATCTACTCGTGTGTAGAGAACGTTTGTTATATACTCATGTATAGAGAACGCTCATTATCCACCGACGTGTAGAAAACATTCATTACCTACTCATGTGTAGATAACGTTTATTATCTACTCATGTGTGGACGTTTCTGATCTACTCGTGTGTAGATAACGTTGATTATCTACTTTATTGTGCTCAAAATATTGTGGGCAAAATATTGTGCATAAAATATTGTTTTGTAAAATATCGTGTTCAAAATGTTACAAGTAAAATATTGCGCTCGGAATATTGTAGGCAATCCGTTCTGAATACATTGGGAGCAGGCGCACTGAATTAAGGCAGGCATACGTCTCTGAATATTGAGTGGGCAGTCGCCGTGGTGCTTGAGGTTTTACGAAACTTTGTTACGACCGTACGCTAAGAATGAGGCTTTAAATATTTCCGTATCAATTATAAAAATTTAATAGTAGCCAGTAGTATTCTTCACCTAGAAATATTTTGATCTGGAAAGTTTAAATTGAAAATTTTCAGCCACATAAAAGAAATTATTATTGCTTGTACGCGAGCAGGACGCACGGAGCTGGAGCTGCCGGAGACGCGACGTCGCGTGGGCAGCTCCGCCCAGCGCGTCGACGTCTACCCCTTCATCTGGAACAACTTCAGGGAAGCTGGATACGTTACGAGTGAGTTAAGCTGGATACGTTACGAGTGAGTTAAGCTGGATACGTTACGAGTGAGTTAAGCTGGATACGTTACGAGTGAGTTAAGCTGGATACGTTACGAGTGAGTTAAGCTGGATACGTCACAAGTGAGTTAAGCTGGATACGTTACGAGTGAGTTAAGCTGGATACGTTACGAGTGAGTTAAGCTGGATATGTTACGAGTGAGTTAAGCTGGATACGTCACACGTGAGTTAAGCTGGATATGTTACGAGTGAGTTAAGCTGGATACGTCACACGTGATTTAAGTGGATACGTCACACGTGAGTTAAGCTGGATACGTTACGAGTGAGTTAGGCTGGATACGTTACGAGTGAGTTAGGCTGGATACGTTACGAGTGAGTTCGCTTTTTCACATACCATCTAGTTCGTCGGACGCACTCTTTACACGTTTCAATAATATTGTTATTTGTTGACCAATTGCATAGCAGGATTGCATTAAATCTCCTCACTCTTACTGAAACTGTAGGACCAGTTCGAGCTTTTGATTTTTAACTGACCAATATTTTTTTTCTATCTCATGAAGGTACTAATGAAAGAGTTTGATTGTGTATCGTTGAATTCATAACGTAAATATCGTAATGAAATGCTACGTAATATCTAGGAAGGAGCCCTTCTTTCAATCGTGTTTCATTAAGAATAACGAAGTTTAAAATAATGAAGATTAAATTTAGCGAAGTTAAATTATGAAGAAATTATAAGCAAAACTGGCATTATTTTTAATGTAACACACGTAATATCTGTAATATGTTAATGCAGGATTTAAGAATAGAAATATCGTTATAGCTAATACTATTCACTCATTACGTACATAATCGTCCTCTGCACCTGCCATCAGTGTACGCTGAAGACCAGCCCCTAGCTAGCACCTTCAACTACCGCCTACGAGGCTTCGAGACGCCCCCGACGCACCACTACATGAGGCCCTACTACCTCGCCCTCCAGCAGCAGATCAGCCGCCATGCCAACCTCTGCGTCAGGGCCAAGCCAAGACATCAGGTCTCTTGTTGCGCTCAAAACCTTGAACTATTTTCCTGCTGATGTTTACTTTAGCCAGCTTTTTGGTATTGATTACTAACAATGTTATATTATTACTCTAGCAACTTGATAAACTATGTAATTATGTACAACTAACGTTCATGTTTGCACTATTTGAAACATCACTCTGGAAGTATCCACTGACCTAAAAGTTTCCACTGACCTAAAAGTTTACACTGACCTGAAAGTTTCCACTGACCTGAAAGTTTCCACTGACCTGAAAGTTTCCACTGACCTGAAAGTTTCCACTGACCTGAAAGTACGAGGACTTACCTCAGTCGAGTTATGGTGCCGTGCTATCAATACTCTTTCTGGTACACGAAGCGGCTTCAGTAGAAGTAAGCGGCCTGAGTAGACATAGCTGCCAATTTCTCGTCTTTGGTTTTTGAATTAAGCTTGAAAAGTCGTCAGTTATTGTCTGCTGATGCTGCGAACTCGTAAGTGTTGTTGACAGCACGGCCCCTGGTTCCAGGGCCTATACTTTCAAAAAAGTTAATAGATCGTAAGTTCATCAGTCAATCATTGACGTCCTTTCAAGCAAAATCCACCAATCATAGACAAGAAAATAGAACGTAAGTACTTACGTTCACTTAGCGAATTTTGAAAGTATGGCTCCAGGTGTTCTTGGACTACGTGCACAACTTCATGCTGTCGTACCGCTCGTCCCCGGTGTTCGGCTTCACGCTGCACGGCGAGCTGAGCCACGACGACGTCAACCTCGTCAGCGTCGCCGACGACGACCTGATGGCGCTGCTGGCGCGGCTACACGGCGACGGGCTGCTTGACAGGACCTTGCTCATGGTCTACGCTGACCACGGCCACAGGTCTACGATGAATTCAATCTTTGTATTCATTTGTCTACGTATTCAACAAACTTTTTGATGTCATTTGTATCGATTGGCCTGAGATCGAGAGTTACCTTTAGCAGGCAAATGTACAAGTTTGAAGTTCAGAAATTTTTTCGTTTGTATGAGTATTTCATGCATGTTGCTTTACCTATGATGGTTCACATTGATATGCATACTTGTTCAAGATATTTCAATTTTATGAATCAAGTGATGAATTTTTCCTAGAACATGGTTTTTATTTGCGAAGTTAATTAATTGGAGCGTTCATTATGAATATAATTTGTGCATGGTCGCTAATTATGTGCAGGTTTGCGTCCATACGCAGCACGCAGCAAGGCAAGCAAGAGGAGCGACTTCCTTTCGTAAGCTTCGTCGTCCCTCAAACGATCAAGAAAAATTTTCCAGCAGCCTACCAGAACCTAGTGTCAGTTTTTACGCTTTGATTTGCTTTTTTTTCATACAATTGCGTTTGCTTATGCTTTGTATGAAAAGCAATGAGTTTTTGTGTGTGGGGTTAAGCGTTGTTATCTGGTGAGAACAACCGACAATTATAACAATAATATGTAATAATAATAATGTATAATATATAATAGACAATTAGTGATATGATTCTACGAGTTAAACTGCATGAGTATATTTGACACCTTTTCAAGACTTCTGAAACAGATTACTTCGACGTTCATTTTATCTTGAATTCTTTAAACGGAAATAGATTTTTCCTGCATAGCGGAGGTATATTTTTAAAAATTTTCTCCGCTATGTATGCGATATTTTACTATATTCCGCAATGCTAATTAGACTTAACATTTGATAAGAGCGAACACGGAGCGGCTGGTGACGCCTTTCGACGTACACGCGACGTTGGCCGACGTCCTGCACTACACGGGCGCCAGGCTGGGCCAGACGTCGAGTCGTGCCATATCTCTCTTTAGCCAGGTTATTGACTTAATATAATGAGCATTTCTATTTAATTGTATTAACTTAATATAATGACGATTTCTATTTAATTATGTTAACATGATTTAATGATAATATCTATTCAATTAAATTAACTTAATATAATGATTACTTATATTTAATCAAATTGACTTGATATAATGATAATTTCTATTTGTCCTTAATAATCAAATGCTTGACATCAGTACCAACCATGCCCTGATTAAGCGTAATAAATGAATAAACTATAAACTTTAGCACTAAATATTTCCTTTTGATAATTTTGCATCACTAATAACATAATACATAACATGAACACCAAAATCGGAGCTTATATATATTTCTTTCGAATCTTTAGTTGAATAGCTCCAAAGATTCCGAAAAAAACACAATCAAATTAAGTTCAGGAGAATTTACTGCAACATAGGTGTGAGACTCGCCTGTATTTCTACATTTTTTATTCTGACGATCATTAATGAACAAACTATACAAACTATATTCTATATAGGAAATGCGATGAAGCGATCAATTCACTTACATTTCTCCCCTTTACCAATTAATGTTTTTCTTGTGGTTGGATGTCTATTCAGACGTTCCTATAAAGAAATTTAATTCATATGCAGTTTGTTCATTAAAAGTATTAATATATTCAGTGTATTCCTAATATTTTGCTGCAACGCATTCGGTAAATAATATAGGCACATGTGCTAAAATTCTTTTGGATTAACAATGACGTTGTATGCCAATAGTCACTATTCAAACTCTGTTAAACAGTTAGCATAGTAACTATTTTTAAAATAAATGGAAAAAATGAATTATAAAATAGAATAAAAATTAGAATCATTATTCTCGAGAATTATGAGCATAATACGGCAGAAATAACCATAATTATATTTTCCTAACCGCACAATGCTAATGTACGGTGGACATAGCATTAGTATACGACATAATTTATCACTTTTGTTAACATTGCATTTAGTTAACGTGGTCACCCCAAAAACATTTTATTATTATAATATTAAGCCATTAAAGTTTTATGCTGATGCCACACCATTACGTTGACAACATCACATCTGTGTTTTGTGCCACGCCATCACGTAGACATCACATCTGTGTTTTGTGCCACAACATTACGTAGTTAATATCACATGTGTGTTTTGTGCCACACCATCACGTAGACATCACATGTGTTTTGTGCCACACATCACGTAGACATCACATCTGTGTTTTGTGCCACACCATCACGTAGACATCACATCTGTGTTTTGTGCCACACATGACGCAGATCCCCGCGACGCGCACGTGTAGCGACGCGTTCATAGAGCCTCACTGGTGCGCGTGTCTGACGTGGGCGCCGGTGGCCGTGACAGAGCCGCGCGTGGGGGAGGCCGCCGCGGCGCTCGTGCATTACATCAACTCCTTCACTGCCCCCCATCGCGGCCTGTGTCGCGAGCTCCAGCTCCAGTACATACAACTCGCCGCTATATTATTGCCTAACTATGGTGAGGTCTTACATATAATGCTCCCTGTTTATGGTATATTATTGCCTAACTATGGTGAGGTCTTACCTATAATGCTCCCTGTTTATGGTAAGCCGTGTTGACTGCTCCTTAATAAATATGGCGAGTGTTCTGGACTGCTCCCGAATTACGGTCCCGAATTATGGTGAAGCGTCGCCTATATTGCTCCCTAGTTATATAATTATAATGAAGTTCTTGAACTTCTCCCTAACTAAGGTGAGTCTACGTCAGGAGTGATCCCTAATTCTGATCTTTCGTCGGTCGAATTGTCGCTTGAAAAAATCCAGTGCGTCTTACAGTGTTTAATCGCTGCCTTCTGTCGAGCAGGTGTGATGTCGTTCAAGCAGAACGCGGACATGGACGGCTTCGTGCCAAACCTCGAAGCTCGGACGCCCGTCACGGAGGAAGTTTATGAAGTTCACATCGTGACGACGCCTGGGGGGGCGCAGTACGACGCCTCGCTCACTTATTCTATACGACAGGACACTTTCTCCGTCAGGGTGAGCATTGCGTTCTAAAGTAGCTCCTGGAAGCCCTTATGTTCACACTCGATCTACGTTACAAATTTAATGGTAATATTAATTATTAAAACGCAAAATATTTATCAGATACTTCCTGGTACAAGACACCTTTCTTGTTGCTGTTTTCCATTGTTGTTCCAAGTGTTTCCAGTTACGGTGAGGTTGGCTGGTGCATGCTACAGCTATACAATTGTATTGTTATGTCTATGCTAAAAGCATGTGCTCGCCTTTTGTTCATCTACGACATTTTTGCACTTGGTAAACGGTTTAGTCAAGATCTTACTAGTGATGATAATAAAATTATTTCGTCAACAGATGGACGACATCAGCCGCACTAACAAGTATGGAGATACGTCTAAGTGTATCATCAACATTGACAGTTCACTGAGTAACTACTGCGTGTGTACTGAGTAACTGTCACTACTGGCCTGGCATGACTGCTCGGTAATTATCTGCAGCTACTTTATGGAAGGTTTCTCATCGGTCGTTGTATCAACGATTATGGGTGATAGGAATTTGATTTTTTAGTCAAATTAGTGAGAATTGCTGCACGATCTCATTTCAAAGTGACGGATCCAGTTATAAAATCGGCCAGGGCTTTTTATCGTCATTACATGAATTCAGAACTACATTCTGGATGAGACGCGTTTATGTGCTTTAATTTCTAGGAGGAAGGAGTTTGTTCTCTATCTTCAATATATTTCCTCTAGATAGTAATACGCACAATAATCTACAAATATTCAAGTGCAGTCTTTCAGAATGGTAGCGTAATTTTTCGCTTTCACTTCACTTCTTTGTTTTTTTTTTTTAATTTACTGTACGAAAATCTTAAATTTCTTTAAAATTTCTTATATCCTATAAAATATAAGGATATACATATACTTTTATCCTATAAAAATTAGTCATTAATATCAGCATTGAATTTCTTTGAATTTTATCCACTCTTGAAATTTATAGTTCTAGTTCACAGCGTGTAAATAATTTTGAGACGCACATTTCGACTTTATGAAGTTTTAAATGCATTTAATATGTGCTTCCATCGCGGGACACCTACTCAGGTTTGCCTTACTTTAGAACTCCCTCGTGAAATTCCATCAAACTTACATAAAACTAGTCACCTTTTCTGGTCAAAAAAGATGTCACAACAACCAAGCAGCTTTAGTTGTGTATATGCAAAAATCCTAATCCTTTTCGCTTAAGTTTTTGCCTTAACTAATCTTTTCCACGAAAAGGTAGAAGATGAATTAAACTGCCTTATTATGCTAGTATGTAGTACGATGCTAGCGTGCTTTTTGTCTTGGGTAATATTTATCATTTGGGGTCAAAACCTCATGTTCTCCGAATGCGCGAATTTTACTTAAGGGTTCAATGAACGTAAATTATTATTTATTAAAATATGTTCAAAATTTTTTCCTTATGCTAGAGCACAATTGATAGACTGTTGAGAAACATCTTACTTCAAGTTGAGTGCGATCGATTTAGATCTTTTTATTCACAAATTTCGTTCTTCTGAGGTCAATACCACGATATAATCTAAGTTACAATGCTCTTCCTTGGACTGGAATTTCCGATCACTTCCACAGTCATTTCATCCGTTCCGCTTTCTGTGATATTGGGCCTGGCAGCACTATTTCCTTTAGTTGGCTGTGGTGGTCCTGAATATTTACTAAGTTCTTTGTGTTAGTAATTGCACCGATTTAGGAGTTATTTAACGATTCTAGATAACCATTTCGTTTGTGTAATGCATTTCTGCTGTATTAGATTTGTGTATATTTCTGACATAAGCTTATAGTCTAGACTTTATAAATGACGAGTGCCAGATCAGCCACGGCGCCAGTTGATATTTATGGCTTAGGCGGCGCTCCAGCGTGGCCTGGGACTGCTGCTACCTAAACATTTACCTTAAGCCGAGAATTTAATCGAGTGTAAAGTTACTCTGATGGTAGCTACGAGGTTTAAGTCTGACGAGCGTTACAGTTATAATATAGCGTGACAGCTATAATATACGAGCGTGACAAGTATTCTTATTATAATGACTAGAATTTAAAAATATGCCTTGCGTTTCCATCATTGTTAGATACCAAGAATTTGAAAGCAAGCAAAAAGCAAAAGAATTTGCTTGGATTTCTTTGTGCTAATAAATTGTTGTTTAATTTGCCATTAAAGCAAACTAGTGAGACAATACAGGTTAGGATACCCCATACCTTTTTTGAAGTTAACCAGTATTGAATGCTTATCAAAGACTATGTTTTTTTTTAAGTTAGCATTCAGTCATGAAAAATTGTTTGTACTAAAAAGAAGCATTAAATTGGTATGGATAACTGTAATTTCAAAGCCGGTTTAATTGTTTTCTAGATCCAATTGACTATCTTGAATGTAATCTCCCTTGGCTTCGTTCTGAATACAATAGTGGATTGAAAATTGTACAAGCTATACATGTTTTATAAGCGAAGAATTTGAAAGCAAAGAAAATTTTCTTAATTTCCACTTAACTTAACATTTCCTGTCATGGTTTTTGCTTTTAGAATTTGGGTAATTTTACGATTTAAGTGAACTTATGATGTAAATACGTTTTAAACGCGGCATGATTTTCGCTTCTTTAAGAATAGAATAGAATAGAATAGAATAGAAGTGTCGGCGTTGAAGACATAGGCCCATGGCCTGTTGCCGATTCTTGAACTTTTCGTGACTTGATTCACAAGGGATCCGGCCTTTGGAACCCGATCTTTCCATAACTGACGATTGATTGAGATAGCTGTGTAGCTTTGTGGGTTAGAACCTCTTATGGGGCCCAGCAAGTCAAGTTATCTGCAGAACATCAATCAGCTAGAGAATCAGTGTGGTGCGGACTTAATCTAAAAGGCAAAGATAGCCTCCTCATAGGCGTCGTGTATAGATCACCAAACAGTTCTTCTGATAACGATAAAATACTAAACAGTCTTTTACCGAGCATGACTTTCCGTAAGTCATGCTCGGAAGTCATGCATATCTAACGCCGTAATTCTTGACCAGGTAATGTTCATAAATTTAACTGTTACCTTCTGATAAATACAATGGTTAATTAAAAAAACTTGTTGTGTCATCCTCCTTCCATTTATTTTAGAATTCGAAGGCAATCTGACTGTACAGCTAAGTGCTTGGTTTCACCATTTTGCTCGAGCAACTGTTTCAATATTTATAGCATTGACGAGATCATCATTTCCACATTAATGTATCAAAATTATTCTTGCATAATTGAATTTTATTAAATGGTTTCCTACTAAATAAAAGTTGCTTTTTGGACCGTGAAATTCCTTGAACACTTTCAGATACTTCCTCGTATATACAAGACGCCTTCCTTGTCGCGGTGAGTTTTCCGGTGATGTGGGCTGATGCATGCAACAGTTATTCAATTGTTTTGATATGCTTATGCGTGTGTTTGCTTTACGTTCATCTTCAATATTTGTGCGCTGAGTTTCGATGCTTTGAATATCCTAATGTTAATATAACACTAACGGCAGCAAATACTCTTAACCTCACAATTTCTAAGCTCTTTATTTTCATTATAGGTTAATGTTAAAGATTCGGTAAACCTGCAGTCAATTTCGATACAAATTCTAATTCAGATGGACGACATCAGCCGCACCAACAAGTATGGAGATACGTCTAAGTGCATCATCAACATTGACAGTTCGCTGAGTAACTACTGCGTGTGTACTGAATAACTGTAACTACACACTGTGTTCCAACTGTGGAAGTTGGAACTTTTCGCGCACTGCAGCTACGAGCCCGTGCACAGCTAGCCTGAAATGCCCTAATTTCAGCCATGGAGGAAGCTGCTTTGAAATAAAATGATATGCTCTATTAAGGTTGATATTTCCATTCTTAAGCTGTTGAGGGTAACGCAATTAATATTAAACGTGTAGGATGAAATAGTTCAGTTACCATTTTCTGTTGTCTGGGATGAATCAAGGACTGTCACATACTCTTTTTTACTCGCTGCGAAGATACGTTATGCTAACATTATTATCGAGCTCTTATTGGTCACCATATTTGAGGCAATTTTAACCTTTGGATCGCCATACATAAATTCTTTGTATTGCGGATTAGAGTATGAACGACAGATTCCAATGACATGTAAAGCGATGTTTCATTAAACTTGATACTGCCGAGTATTATTACATACCCTCGTTGGATGCAAAATAAATACTCATATAATTAGCTCTAGTGTACACTGCTAAATTCGACACAGATAAAAATGTATTACTCTGGCATGTGTTGCTGACTGTACCTGGGCAAATAATATATTATTATCAGAAAATCTGGCAGTATTAGAAGGCAATAAGAGAAGATATAAACGACATACGTTTAGTTCAGTGATGGCCGGTCATCTGGAGGCGTGCTCGTGGCGCTCTTCAAATGTTACCGCCATTACAAGGGATCGTTGCAAGCCGTCCGCATTGCAGCAACGCTTCTCTGGCCAATGGCTTGGCAGTATTGCCCTCGATTTGCTCTATAAGTAACGCAATCTTTCTCGAGAGGCTCGAGTTGGGCCGTTTTGTGTAGGCTCCAGCAGCCCTATCGAGGTTGCCTCTATAAATATTGAGGCAAATCATTGTTTACTGGTACCACCATCGGTCGGTTCGCCGACTAAGGAGCTTAGCTGCTCCTGGTCTAACTGTATCTTGTATACAGGGTGTCCCAAAAAAACGATACTCAACTTTGAATGGCTGTAACTCGAAAAGTAATAGAGTTAAAAAATTTTGGAAGGTCAGGATTTGTTTCCTATGTATTTCTGCATCTCTCCACCAAAAAGCAGACAGATCGATGTAGCCATAAGCGTTTGATAGAAATTTCAGTGACATGTGCTAAAATCGCGCTTGCGCAAAGTTTTAGTAAGATCATTTTGCATAATCATTACGTTGTCTTGACATGCTTTCTTTTTGCTGTTTTATTGTTTGTATTTTTGGTGAGACAAAAACATGGCATTCTTTGGTGAGAGACAATCATGACAATCTTTGGTGAGACACAATCATGGCAATCTTTGGTGAGAGACCATCATGACAATCTTTGGTGAGACACAATCATGGCACCGAAGACAATCATGGCACCCTCTCACCGAAGATTGCCATGATTGTCTCTCACCAAGGATTGCCAAGATTGTCTCTCACCAAAGATTGCCATGATTGTCTCTCACCAAAGATTGCCATGTAAACAGCGAAAAGAAAACATGTCAAGACAACGTAATGATTATGCAAAATGATCTTACTAAAACTTTGCGCAAGCTCGATTTTAGCACATGTCACTGAAATTTTTATCAAAGGCTTATGGCTACATCGATCTGTCTGATTTTTGGTGGAGAGATGCAGAAAAACATAGGGAACAAATCCTGACCTTCCAATTTTTTTAACTCTATTACTTTTCGAGTTACAGCCATTCAAAGTTGAGTATCTTTTTTTTGGGACACCCTGTATATCAGCACGTGGCAGTGAAACTAAATTGAAAGTCAAATTTCTATCTGAACAGAAATTTTGACGGCAACTTCTTTGCAATTGACAATAATTTTACACAATTACAAACACGACTTTCATTCTGATTAATAAAAATCACAAGAACTGCCCTACCAAAGGCTATTTATAAATTTTCTATAAAATGTTTTCCTATTTAGTCCCAACACCAACAGCAGAGCCTGTGCTGCGCTAGCTGTGTTATTGATGGATTATGACTGCAACATCATCCGATGGTGACTACAACAAAGTTGAATAATTAGTTAAACGACTTATGAATGCAAGTAACATACCGAGTCCGATTCCA